TGTCTATAATGCTTGGTGTTATCTTTTTCAATGAGAAAAATACTGAATGTTCCCGGCATCTGCCGGAAAAAGACAGAACACACGATCGAAGACATGCCTGATAAACGAGCACATTTGTTCAGCCACCTTTTTACAAACCTGTTTAACATGCATGGTCCAGTCCAAAGAGAGGATTACACAAATTTTATGTATGCTAATAATTTTTTTCACGCTGAGATGATGCGCACATGTATATGTTTATTGTTTATGTAACAATTTTGTTACGATTTTTAAGGATAAATGCTTTCTCCGAATATGCACGAGATTAAATTCCATATCAGCCGGTTGTGTGATTTTGATTGCAATTAATAGCCGCCGGCTGCGTTACGGTCGGTTAATTGTCGGGGGAAGATTAATGGCGCGAAATCACGCCACTAGCAGTAGATTGTTCAACACCGATTTTTGTATCAGTGCACATCTTCATAAATTTTTGTATCGTATAACTTTTTGCAAGGAAATGTACCGCAATTATAGATATTTTAATTAAATGTTTACTGCTAGGATTACAAATTTACGTAATGTCGAAATTAACGCAAACATTAACTCGAATAAAGCTTATTTAGGAAATAAAATTGTATTTTATAATCTATATATGTAATATTATATATATATGTATATATATATATATATATATATATATATATATATAAAATTTTATGTTTAATATATTAATAATTTTTCATATCTTTATTATATTTAAATATTTATATATAATATACATAATTGTATATATAATTTAGTTATATCTCAAGTTTCGCAAGTAACCCTAGCATTTCAGTAAATGCACTGATATCGTTTCTTCATCGTATGCAAAAATTATGCCAATTAATCCAATCCAGATATACGTATTCGTAAATATAATTAAGCCTAACTGGTGATAGATCACGAAAGTGCATATATGCGCTTTAAATATGATTATGCAATACCTGCACTCTGTCTCATCTTGATTTCATTTATCCGGCAATCAATGGAATGCCGAAGTGTATTTTCTAGATAATATAATGAGTAGTTTCTAATAAAACTGCGCGCGTATTACAATGCAGCACCGTGATTAACGAAGCGGAAATAAATAGCGTAACATTGCTCTACTTCCAAAACAAACGCCAATATGAATCGTATTGTTTTCAGATATTGCGACAGCATTTTCTGCATTATAAAATTGCTAGACAAAGAAATTTTTCTTAACAAGCTTCACTCTAGTTCCGGTTACGCGGATCATGATATCAAGGATATAGTAAGAGTAGAGATAATAATCTTAGCACGTATACGTATCGCGAAGCGACTAATTTCATTGCCGCGAAACAAGTCTGCATCGACATTGGGGGCCTGATTTATAACAGAATTCTGGGTTACCGATGAGAATGGATAGATTCTACTTTACCGTCGTCCGTGAGGCAGCCGGTGAACCTCATCAGGAAGATCCGGTGAGACCCGGACACGCGGAGAGATCCGGCTTGATCCGCGGCAGATTCCAGATTGCTTTGGCGATTATGCGATTATGCCCCGATTCGAGATTTACGGGCGAGCGAAGCCGTCCGGGACGTATCGACGTTTATTTATAGTTACAGGGAATCACTTATTGCAACCGCTCGCTCGAGATCTCTCCTCTCTCTCTCTCTCTCTCTCTCTCTCTCTCTCTCTCTCTCTCTCTCTCTTTCTCTTTCTACCCTTTCTTCCCTGGCCCTCCTCTTCATGCATCGGCCGCACGCGTGAGTGCACTTTTAACGCACTCCTCGAAGACGACCACCCGCGGTATGGGAATGCAGCTGCGGACAAGCACCAGATACAGTTTGGCACATTGACAGAATTGTAGCTTCAGAGACTTTTTTAAGTATTTTCATTAGAAACTTTAATTTTTATAAAATTTAGATAAAAATATTTGAAATTTTATCTTGATTATAGTTCTTTCAAAATTAAATCTATAGCATTCTTTCTCAATGCATTGCATTTCGACACGTCTATATCTCAATAGTAATATTTCTTTATCTTTTGAATAAAAAATAATAAATTTAGCTGAAGAGCAGATATAGATTTGCTTACACTTCCTGCTATCAAGCTTTCAACTGCATGATGCAAGGTAAATAATGATCGCGCCAAAAAATACTGACGATATCCAACTGGACATTTCCAAAAATATCAGACTTCTCGCAATATTACGTTATGATTGCAGGCACTGTCGCAACGTGTTGCGCGCTTGCTAATTTGCCCCGAAACGTAAGCGAGCGGGATGATTTGCACGAAGTATTCGGACAGTTTAACGAATCCTTTTCAACGTAAGACACGATAGTTAACATACGCTCGTGTCCGCAAGCGGTTCCTCGCGAGGGCGAGCGCGTTTTCTTACGAGCTATAATTTACAATCACGTCGCGGGAAAAGAACCGAAATATTCGTGAGTCTGACGTGCAAACGTAGCCGAATGCTTGGTACATACATGCTATATGGCGGTCGCTAACGAATGCACATGTATTATCCCGCGGTAATTACCATATCAAGGTCTCGTTGCTGATCCCTAACACCGTCCTAATTGCCACGCTCGACAATTTATTAAATTGCTCTATTATGAGGCCTGTCCTTCCCACTTTTTCTCCTTTTTCCATCTCACTCGAGGCTTTAAGGATCCACACCCGCTTCCCTCGAACGCGATTTCGTCGGCTGCGGGGCAAATCTCGCCGGGCACTTTGTGCACATTGTTTATGGAAATCGCAGCGGGACGTTGCAATGTGCCTCATTCCGCATATTTTAAAGGATGATTACTATGCGGATGATTGCGCCGTTTTACATGTAGCACTCGTCGGTTGAGTGGTCACATTTTGGTGAACGCGATGCGCTCCGATGTTGTGCAGATTAACGTTGCATCAAGCGGCATGGAATGAGTGCACGTGTGTGCACATGAAAATGCCGCGCTAAACGATAATAGTTAAGAAATACGGGCATTGATCTTCACGAAATTTCATTTTCGACGAAGATCTTATCAGCGTGTGATAATACATACATACCATACATACGTATGTGATCGTGCAAATTATAACGAAATATATTTTATACTCCACAATTTTTAGCTTCTATATTTTAGCTTCAAGGATGTTTATAATCTACACATGAATATAATTATTAAAATATTTTTTAAAAATATAAATTGTCATATTATTGTCATATTATTATCACGAAGTGACTTCAACAATACATCAGTTTTATCAGCACGCTTACTTAGACGTGCGTAAACTACAACTGAACGGATCAACTAAAGAATGCTATCGCTGGTGATTCATCATACGCGTAAATGGCAAATGTCCGCGCGTTCATTAAAATGATGCAAGAGCCGTAATGTTGCAGTGACAATGCCGTTAACACATCCAGTGTTAAAATCCGAGTGTCTGGAGTCTTACGGCCTCTTTTACTTTAACGGAGACAGGGCCTTGGGATAGTAGCGACGACAAACAGTTTGTTTCGCAGAAGCGGTAAACATAATATGTACGCGCAGGTAAGGCAAAAGGACCGCAGCATTGTCGCGGTTGCCTCTGGTAGGTACATATGTACATTTATACGGTTATGCTAATACCGCGACGTTGACTCTTTGGGCTGTCGGGTTTGTAATTGTGTGTGCCATCTTCATATTAGTGCCGCAGTCATATCGTTCAACGACATTGTCTCGAGCGTACACCCGGCTGTTTCAACCTTCAGCCGCTGTGTAGAGGAATGAAACATGCAATTCAAGTTTTTGTTTATTCAGTAAATGAACGTAGTTTGTAGTAGGAAAAGCCTTGACAACGTAGTTTCTAAAGAAATAATATCAAATGCTGTTTCCTTTAATAAAACTATAGTAAAATATTTTCATTGTACTGTGATACTATTTTAAAACGTTATTTAAATTGTTACAACGCTGTTCTTTTTAGTCTTTACTTACAAATTTTAATATCTAAGATAATTTCCCGAATAGTTAAAGCTCACTTATAAGATAATGCGTATTGTGATTGACGGTAAGTTTGGTATCACGTGATACTGTACTGTACTGTACTTTGTGTAATGAAACTGGATGAAGGAGTGCCTTTACTCACTCTGCTAAGTATAGCTATAGCCGGTTCAAGGTGGGGAGCAGATATATATAAATGTAAATAGAAGTGTATGTATAAGATAATGTATAGAATATAAGAGGAAAAAAGAGTGCCATATATTCAAGTTACATGTGCGTGAATAAAGTGTATAAACTCCGAAATAGATCGATGACCAGTCTCACGACAGTGTTACAACCGTACGACGAAAGTTGCGTCAGAGCACATGCAACTGGTGTCAATCTGATTCATCTTCATTGACAGTGCCCACGAATTATCGCTTGTTCAATTATATGGATTATACATCAAAGATACAATCTGCCTCCAACTGTAATCTTATTTTATCTAACCCAAATGTCGTTAATATAATCTCCTTTTATTAATCATCTTCACAGATATCGATAACGTTGTGTATATATTGCTGCAAATATGTTACTTTTCGATAATATTGTATTTTGGAGCAATTTCTTTTCAGTTCAAACAGAATAAAATATTATCGTTTCTTTTAATATTTAATTTTGAACATTTTGGAAAAACAAAGTTTTATGGTAAATATCTGTTAAAGCTCATTTACATTCTCATTATTTGCAATCCTGAAATTAAATTGCATTTTTTTTTAATTTTTAAAGATAAATAATATTTTTATCAAGCAGGGAATTGTTCTTTTTTATTAAAATGTTAAAAAAATATGTCTGTATTAATATGTTAAAGAAGTTAGCTTTCTTATGCGTATTTTATATCTTCAAGAACGTCGTGACAAATTTAACTTTACCGATAGCCATAAAAAATCCCGTGCTACAAAATGCGGGAGTCACGACTTGAGTATTGTGCTTCCAGAAATACTTTTTTTCCCCCACTCTCGACGTCCCCCAGTACCTTATGATTGGCGAATAGCGAAAAGATGCGAGAGAAGAAAGTCTCTTCGAGCTGGATCGATGGTGAATATCGCCGTCACGTGCGTGAGTTGCGTCATGTTACGCGTGCGCAATGTCACGTTTGCCTTTTCGAAGCGGTTCATATAGTATTTAGTATGACATTTGAATCAGAATCCACGTGATACTTCAAGTCATTTAAACTTTCGTAAATTGTCATTTTTCAAGATTTCGAGATTTTTAGATCTGACTGTAGATAATCGTAAAAATTTCATATATTTCGTCATTGCCTTGTCGCTCGTAGAAGCTATATAAGGTGGGGGCAAGGTCACCTTGGCGAATCACCATCCCTGAACTGTCAGTCCAGTAAAATAGCGGTGTGCCAGCTATAACGGGTTCAGTCTGTGTTCGACAGTGACGAAGAGTAGTGTTACAGGGAGAATACTTTTTGAGGTCAGTAAGGACTCTCTTCAATCGTATCACTTAAAATTCCTTTTAATTGACCAGTCTCACAGTGTGTAATGAAAAAAGTGATAATGTTTAAATAAGAATATATTTGAAATTAATTTAATAATTGGCTTCATTATTTGTAACATTTAAAAAATTTTAAGATTGATTAATGAAAAACGTGTAATAAATTTATCAAGCTTAATTATTTAGAATTGCTCGTTTATTCATGTTTAGAAATATTTTTAACGTGACAGTCAAAGTTCCGTGCTGTTGCTTGATTAGCTGCTATCAGCCGGTGCTGATCTGCGATAAAACGTGCGTCGATAAAGCATGTGCATGTCACACTACCGTTACTGGTGTATTGCAATTTATCGTTTTCTGACTTCCTGTATACAAAGTATAAGTTAATAATGCTGAAAGCTGTACGAGTCTTTCGTCTTGATTATATCTCTCCGGTCAAGCGTTATTAGCGAAGTATGATTAATGGTCTGACCGCGATTTCCGCGAACTGATGCGTAATTCCAACTCTCCACGTGTTTTTCCGCCTCAAAGTTCACACGTTTGCACCTGGTTGAAAGAGAAATGCCGGTATATCTCCATCGATTATACCTATACTGCCATCTGACAACTGTATTCGTACTATCCCTTGCATTCGTTGCAAATGCAACAAGTACATACCTAGAAACCGCACGATACATTTTACAACCGCGCCACTCGAAATGGCATTTGCCGACACGACACAATTCCTTCTAAAAAAAGACATGTTAACGAGGTTCGTGAACTCATGTTAATGACCGCGGTCGAAGAAAGACAATTGGTAGTGACGGACAGAAAAGTCAGGAATTATAACATAGATGTTCTTCGCGATACACGATCTGATTTTTAATCTTTGATATAGTGACTTTTCACCGATCTGATTTTTATTTTAAATTCGTAATTAATAATAATAAATAAAAAAGAAATATAAGAAGTAACGTAAACGGTTATATACATGTTAAAATATAGATTAAGATTTTATGAAGGTATTGATGTTAATGCATTATTAAATTAATCTGATAAATATTTACAGAAAATGGCAACATTAAAGGATCAACTTTTAACTACTGTGACAGAACCTGTGTCAATCGGTAGAAATAAAATCACAGTGGTCGGTGTCGGTCAAGTTGGAATGGCCTGTGCTTTTAGTATTTTGACGAACGTAAGTTAATCTTATTAACTTATTATTAAAATTCACTTATATAAAATATAGTTTTACATAAGTTATTTTTTACTATTGAAGATTGTTATTTTTTCACAAATAATAGCATAAAATATTTTCAATAATCATACTATGTTATATTTATTTATATCGTAATGGCACACATACATATAACATTATTTGGTAAATTATTGCAGCATGTTTCGAGCGACGTGGTATTGATCGATGTGATGGCGGACAAATTAAAAGGAGAAATGTTAGACCTACAGCATGGCAGTGCGTTTATGAAGAACGCAAAAGTGACCGCCAGCACTGATTACGCCGTGACTGCGAATTCGAGTCTTTGCATCGTGACAGCGGGTGCGCGTCAGCGCGAAGGCGAAACCAGACTGGATCTGGTTCAACGTAACACCGACATCTTCAAAGGCATTATACCTCAGTTAGTCAAATATAGCCCGAACACGATTCTCCTTATCGTTTCCAATCCGGTGGACATTTTGACATATGTGGCGTGGAAACTCTCCGGCTTGCCAAAGAACAGAGTTATTGGCAGCGGTACGAATTTGGATTCTGCCCGCTTCCGCTTTCTGCTATCGCAAAAACTTAATGTCGCACCTACGTCTTGCCACGGCTGGATTATCGGAGAACACGGTGATACCAGTGGTATGTAAAATGCTTTTTTAAAATAATAAAATTTTCATAATAGATGAATAAAATAAAGTGAAGGTATGATTAGTAATTATATCTTCGATAGGGCTAAATAAAAAAAAATTTTTTAATTAAGCTTTCTTTTCTCAACCAAAAATTTAGTGATATTATTATAAACAAACAAATGCATGTATGTATACATTAACAAAATATAGTAAAAAGATTTTAGTGCATTGTAATTATGCGAGATATTTGTTTCTGCATTTATCAGTGCCTGTATGGTCTGGAGTTAATGTTGCCGGAGTACGTATGCGTGACTTGAACGAGCACGTGGGTACTGACAAGGATGAAGAACATTGGGATGATTTGCATAAGCAGGTGATACAAAGTGCATATGAAGTGATCAAATTGAAAGGCTACACCTCATGGGCCATAGGTCTCAGTGTGTCGCAACTTGCATCAGCTATACTAAGAAATTCCAATCAAGTGCACGCTGTGTCCACGTTGGTTACTGTGAGTCGACAATATGGATTTCTGCTAGATTAACTTACAGTATTTTACATATTCTACAATAAACATAATTTTAATCTCATTATTTATATTTCCATGCTTCGTTAATCATAATTATACGATTAAAGGATTATCAAACATTTCATATTTTGCTTTTTTACAAACTTATTAATTTTTATATTATTATTTAATATCATTTTTAATTATTGTTTTTTAAATAATTTTTAAAATTCTACACAATAAACGAAAATATATTATTTTTATATATTAATTATATACATATTAAAACTTTATTATATATGTAAATATTAATGTATTATGTTAATTTATATTTTAATTTTTTTTATTAAAATATATTGATACTAATTATTTTTAACACGAAAAGTTTAGTTATCTGAAAATAACATTCAGTTATTTTCTTTACTCTTTAGGGTAACCATGGAATTAATGAAGAAGTGTTCTTATCCTTACCTTGCACACTGGGTGAAGATGGCGTTACACACATCGTTCAGCAGAAGTTAACAGGCGACGAGCGTGCATCATTACATAAATCCTCAGCGATGATGCACAAAGTGCAAGAAGGCCTGAAATTTTAAAAATATATTGACTTAATTTTATTTATTATTTTATTATATCTTATTGCAAGCTTTTGATGCTGTTCCATATGCAACTTATATGCATTTGAACGTATTAGATAAACGCAGTATTATATACAAGTATTATAAATTAATGAAATAATTTTATAAATGTTTGCAATTATATAATCGACATGTATACGTTTGCCTATATATGTATATGTGTGAAAAAGCTAGGAATATAAAGTGTTTCTGGTGCTATATTTATCTTTTATTATTATTTTTTTTATTTTGATCTGTGACAGAAGTACTCTCATTATCATCTATTTCATTACTTTTTTTACGATGTTGCAACTATTTATGTCATTAAGCATTTTATAAATTGGACGATTTAATCATCTCTAGCAATTTCATATCAAATATGCTAAATGTACTGCCGATAAAGCACGCAAGCAATTTATATCCATTTCTAAAATATACAAGAAGATAAATATAATAAATAAAAAAATATATAATTTATATCGATCACTCTTCCTTGCATATTTTATTTAAACAATGCTCCTTACTCTGCGATAATCTAATATATATATAATTCTATTAAAATGTTTACATATGTATATTTATATATGTATGTAAAAATATATAATTCTCCCAATTTTAATATTATTAATCTAAGTTGTGATTAATATATTGCATAAAGTATTTTTAATATATAAATAATAAACAATAATAACAGAAATATACGACCGTTATGATATACAATTAAATTAGAATAAAACGCCATTTACGGTCCGAGCTTGGATCTTACAATTAGTAGCCTAATAATTATATATATATATATTTTTGTGTATTACACATATCTTTTCCAACCTTAGTAAACTACGCGCCGACTAGACTTGTCAGACTTACAACACAGTTCTCGTTGGAGTAGTAAAATCCCTTCTCTCAAATCTAATCGGCGCGCAGTTTACTAAGATTGGAAAAGATATGTACACATAATACATAAAAAAATATATAATTATTAAGCCACTAAGATACAACCTCGGACCGTAAATAGCGTTTTATTTTAATTTGATTGTATAAATAATAAAGTAGATAAACTAAAGCAAATAATAAAGTATATTTAAATTATGGATGAATTTTTTGTGCTCCTCTTTATCTCTTTTCGAACGCTTATTATAATAAATTTTAGTAACCATGGATGCGTTTAACAATTGGCGAATCGACATGATGGCCGTCTGCCAAGAATGTTATGTCGGCCAATTATCAGTGTACTCTCTCTTTTCAAGAAAAAAAAACGGTTTCATGCAATGTGACGGGCGTGGGTGAAAACGATCGTGCGACGTTTACAAACCTGATGAGTGACAGAAGCAATGGTTTTATCACCTCTGCTGTCGAATTCGTCGCTATCGATATGTCTGAGGAATCTTGCACGCGTGACGTTAACGAGAGACTTTGTCAGGAACCGATATACTCGCGCTTTACCACCGACGATTTTGACGAAAGTCTTTGGAAATAATAAAGGAAATACTTTCGGGAAAGATGCGGCTTCTGGTTCGAATTTTCAGAGAGCACTTAACTTCGTGTAAGAAAAAAATTTAAAATTAATCGAAAACTGTTTGGTTAATTAGCTTTTTTTTTTGGTTATATTGGGTTTACATTTTTTAAGGCTTTCGGTTAAAAAGTTAAATGAACAAATGTCACAAATTTAGATTTACCTAGATTAGAAATTATCATTTCTACTATTTATATGTGGCGATTACAATTTCTTATAATTTTTATTTCCAAGCAATCTTATATTTTTTTATAAAATGAATTTCTTATTTTATATGTACATAATATTTATACAGAATGTTGTAAATCAATTAAGAATTAAGGTGTCATACAAAATTATTATTTGTATTAAATCTATATTTCTATTACTTTTAATATAATTACTAGAGGACTTTTCAAAGAAATCATGATCAGCTGTATTAAGCAGTTGATAATTTTAAGTATAGTTTGCAAAATATCCATGAATGATTATGATATGACACTTCGTGGAAATATTAAAGGAAAGCGAGTTATTCGAATTTTAGTTCACCGTGCTTACGAGAAGAACTCTTATGTAAGATGTCGGAACCAGTTAGAGATTGTGGCCATAAAGTCACTATTGTCGGTGCTGGTATGGTCGGCGTTGCTCTCGCCAATTCACTTCTTTTTCAGGTACTTCATTCTTTTAAATTTTGAATATTTTTTAATTAAATTTTTGAACTGCTTGATTCAGGATTATAGTTATTTACTGAATTTGTTCTATTTCAAATTATTAAAGTAAAAATTTGTGCATTATATGAATATAATGTGTATTATTAAATACAATCAAAGAAAATACGTAAACATTATAATATTATTATATTTGCATTAATGATATTATATTATACGTAGCCTATTGTGTGTTTTAAAGAATGTGAAAATGTGAAATAAAAAATAGAAATATTAAAATTTAAATTCTTAGTGACATATTATGTTAATTTTCATTGTTACCTTATGAAATATTAGCGAATCACTTCGCATATCGCAATGGTAGATGTCTTTCCTAAAAAGCTGGAAGGCGAAGGAATGGATTTTAGTCATAGTTCCGTATTCATAGGAAATCCAAAGATCGAGTATGATACAGGTAATAGATTTATTGAATAGATATGTGTTACGAAAATTGTTGATTTGTTTACTTGTTAATTGTTTGTATACTTGTTATGAAATTAGTTGTGCTAAATGATTATAATTGTAACTTCGTAGTTTACAAAAATACACATAAGTGCATTTGTTCTCTTATTTGTTCTCTTATATACAATTTTTTACTTGTAAATAAAGACGCAAAAATATCTTTTTTGTAGATTTTTGTGTTACGAGTAATTCGAAAGTCGTAGCTATTTGCTCGGGTGTACGACCAGTGAAGGGTGAAACTCGACTTGACTTGGTGAAAAGAAATACAGAAATATTGAAGACTATAATACCACCTTTAGTAAATTACAGTCCAAATGCGGTATTTATCGTCATCAGCAATCCAGGTTAAAATTAATTAATTTAATAATCAATTCTATTAATAAACGATTCTATTAATTAATATGTAATGAAAGTAACATTACATATAATATTCAAAAATTCTAAATATTACAGATCAGATATTTATGGTCTCTAAAAAATTTACGCATAATAAAAAGCATTTCTTCTGTGTATTAATAACATAATATATTCAATAATGAAAATAGTTGTAGTAATAAAAACTGAAAGAATATCTTTTAGTAGACAGCGGAAGCTTATTGTTATTATTGTGAAGTAAATTTTGCTTTAATGAAATCTTTACTCAAAGAAAGAGAAAAGAAGGGGATAATTATAAAGATATCAAAATTTTTATTTATAAAGCTGTGCAAAAATAGATCAAATATTATTAGAGAAACAATTATTTCAAATAATATATTGTTCATCAAAATGTACTGTCAGTTTGTGTAACGTTAAACATATTATTGCATTAATAATATCGGGACAAAATTTGACGCAATATAAATATGATTTCCTTGTATAGTGGATATCTTGGCATGGATTACTTGGAAGTTAAGCGGACTTCCGGTGCATCAAGTAATCGGCAGCGGAACTCATCTGGATAGCGCAAGATTTCGCTACCTGATTGCCGATCGATTAGGAATAGCCCCATGTTCGGTTCATGGGTACATCATTGGTGAACACGGGGACAGTATGGGTGAGCTCTATCGATCGATCTTTGACATTTGACACGGGGAGAAAGGCGACGTTTCGCACTAAGCCCAATCTATCATTCGATTTTCCTATAGTTCCGCTCTGGTCTGGAGTGAACGTTGCGGGAGTGCAGTTCCGCGATGTTATCCCGAATATCGGTTTGGAGACGGACGACGAAAGATGGTTCGAAATAGCAAAACATGTAGTGAAACTGTAAGTTTAATAACTTTAAATGAACAGAGAAATTATCAGTTTCTACGCATAAATATCAATAATAGCATGATTTGCACATTTGTCGAATAGCGTATCTATTTGTAAAAAATTGAATTTCTCTCCGTGAAGATTTAAATTATATTTTATTGTTAGATTTATTTCCCACACACATATATAGAGCGTACATATATGTATACATACAAATATATTTTATTTCCTCAGAGGTGCTATGGTGCGATGTCTAAAAGGATATTCAAATACGGCCATTGGACTTTCTGCAGCTGACATCATAATAGCAATATTACGCAATACGCAAGCTATTATACCAGTTTCGACTCTAGTGCAGGTATAAATTGCTATTCGTAATAAATTGTATTAGTAATAAATTGTACCGCATTTAACTTTCAACTCAAGCTTATTTTATTCGTAATAAAGAAATCATATTTATAGCTAATGTTTAATACCACAAATCTTTTTTGTGCATTTTTAAAAATTAAGAAAGTAAAATATATTTAAATTAAATATAAATTGTTAGGATTTAAAAAAAATTCCTATTGCACTGATATCCAATATCAGTATCAAAACTGTAACGTTCTATATAAATAAAAATCGTCTTCTTAGGGTCACCACGATGTATGTCACGATATGTTCCTGTCCCTACCTTGCGCGATTGGCGAAAATGGTATCACGCAGATAGTACGAATGCACATAACCGAACATGAGAAACAGCTGTTCCATGCTTCGGCGAACCTCGTATACAACGTGCAGAAGGACATCAAAGTCAAGTCTTGAATTGTGACGCGCGGAAAGGGATCGTGCGAACGTGTTTAACTTCTTGTAAAAAAATGCGAGTGTAATAAATTATATGTAGCTTGTCCTAGCGCTTCGTCCCGTTACGATCGCCACCGCAAAACTGTTTACCGCACAGTCGAATCCTTTCCCGATTCGTGCAGCGAGACGCGCGGCAGCCGCGAATGCTCCGATTGCTTATTTATGCAAATCGGGATGGAGAGTATCGATGAATTCTTCGAATTACATCGCCCCGAATTCCGTGATAATTTTAGTCGATGAAATGGTCCCCCCGAGAATGACGATATCCTCTCGCTAACGATCCTGAAATCGGGCCCGACGAGTTAATGACGTCAATGACCTATTTTATAACACTTGGCGATCTCTGGAAATACGTGACGTTTCGTTTGCGCAACTCGTATCTTTTGTTGCTTCCGAGTAACGTTCTCACGCTGTGGCTGGACATTTTCGGGTTTTCCCGTTGCACAAATAAATCATTGGCGTCTGCGGAAAGCGATAATAGTGCACGTCATCGTGTGCTCGACGCGTGAACGAGCGAAAGGTGACCGGCGGATGGTACCAGAAGGCCATGATTACGCCGCAGGCTAGGCCACGGCAAGGTAAGAGAAGGCTGCGATAATTGTGCGCAAGATGGCGTTTTGGAAATGCTTGATACCTGTGAATATACCTGCATCCACCTGCGTTTGAACGGCCGCGCAGGGCCGTAAGAAAGTCCAATCTATCCTTTGAAGAATAAAATATCTCACGAAGATATTTCCCGCATTCTGATTTATCGTTGAATATAATACTGTCATTGAATATGTACGTTAATAATAATGATAAGGTCGATGACGACATAAAGGAGTGGACGATAAAAGGTGAGGCAGTTCAGAGACAGCGCGCAAAGAATAACGAAATATGGAAACTTCTAGCGATATTAATATCGCCGCGGAGGCGAGCGGCACTTTGAACCGTTCCCCTTTTACTTGCTGCCGTAGATCCACTTGAAAGGCCAGGCGTGTCGTTGATTTTGAAAGAGGAATTCCGCGTAAACCATATGTCACAGAGATACTTGCAACAGAGTTACATAAATTCCCAGTTGACTTCGGACAGCAGACCTGACCTAGGGTTGATCTGAAACCAGCGTCTAATTCGATGAGGCGGCGCGCTGTCCGATGAGTGCGACAAGCATAGAAATGGAATTGCCACTCAATGTTTATCGCCTGCCTGTTAAATTGTGATTAATATCACTCCAGACACATGCGTCAAATCGATAATTTATCAGACACACAATCTTCGTTCCATCCTTATTTCTCAATCATGAAATCCTCGCGATACAGGATGTGTTGATTTTACGTGACATTTTATACGATGTTCCTGTAATCGATACTTTAAATATCTCTCTTCGTGACGTTTATGCTGCTATTTTTACATAATGCATACATTGTACATATGCATCCATCTCCAAGATTGAAAAATTAGGAAGATAAATATTTGAAGGAATATAACACAAAAGTCAGTGTTTAAGCAGTAATCTATATGCATACTCGATGTCTAACATTCCTGCATTCAATGCAAATTTAAAGTTTACGCAAATCCGCTATCGAAATTACCTTGTTAACAAAAGTGCCTCCAAAATAGTATCTCGCAAGAATATGAAGATACGTTTGTATATCTCGCCTCTCACTGCTTGCTTCTTCCTGTCCAGTTTAAGCACAGCTCGGAATACTGGCTCCAAGCAGGTTCAATGTGAAATGGGCTCTACAGGTGACGCTCACGTTCCTGACTCTCAGGTGGAGGTGGCACAGCCGGGCCCCGTTCTCCGTTGGTCCCGCCGTCCTTAGTGGAGCTCAGTCAGTAGACAGTCGATCCGCCTGGTCAGCTGGTTTTAACCCATTCGCACATTATATAGATCTTCCTGATGGTAAATCGATCGCGAGCGACTAGGTAGATGCCCGGTGCCGATCTTCCGGTGTCTACGAACCACCCCGCAAATTAAATTAATTTAAGCATCGGACAGATTATTGGCGGCCCGCGCGCCGCATGTGCGCGAGTGTGCAGCATCTTCACCGAAAACATTCATCGATACGATATCAGATAATTTACAGCAGAAGAGACGGCGTTGAAGAAGAAAGAAGAGGGTAGCAGCTCGGGAAGGAGATTGCGCGCGCGCAATCAGACAGGAAATGACTATATCGTACGCGAGCGAAGTGCCGAACGGCTCCAGCTTTGGCTGCTTCTGGAGGATTCTGATCAAGTGAGTCTCGCCGCTTAGTCCGCGAGGCCTAACGCCAGCTCGTTTTAATATGTTGAATGAATGTATGCGTTTTTTGCGGTCTGCGCCTGACGTGTAGGTACCGGAGCTGTCAGCTCGCTGTGGCAGCTGACAGGTGAGACCGGTAACAGGCGCGTGGAGCGCCTTAGCAAGAGTTGCTTTCCGCGTATTTCTCGATTCGAATCGTTTATCGAATGCAGATACAATGCAAATGCATTGGTTGTCTCCTTTTTAGGCACAATACGCTATTCGTGGTTGATTTAGCTTAGCGTTATCTCGATGCTGCGTTTGCTGTTACAAACAATTTGCTTTCCCAAATTTTTTCTCACTTGTATATTCGCCCCCCAAAGATTACAAGATCTACTTTTACTTTCGCTATGTTGCATAAATTATGGTGGTAGTATTTTAAACTGAAACGCGAACATGTGATCGGCTGTCGGCATCGCGATTACGTGATCATTGCAAAACGTAGCGGTTTCGTGATACGAATTTGTCAAAGAACATCAGGACGTATCGAAATGTATCGGAAGATCAAGATTTCGTCATGTGTCTTTGATACAGAAAGACCCACGAAATTGGACGATCTAGATAATTAGACTTCTAGACGTCTACACTATTGTCAGTATGTTACACATTTTTTTTATATATACAAGATGAAGACATTGCGCTATAACGACCGGCTGATCGTTGTGCAACGTTTAACTTTCGACTTAATGTGCCATGCTCCCGATCTATGGTTTAGTTACACAGAAGGAGGAAAGAACGAAAGAGAAGAACGAAAATTCTTAAACAAGAATTCGGTAAATAATTTGGGTGTCAATCAAGAACGTCCAATGGTCCTCTAATTAGCCAGTTTCGCATATTTCGAAACTCGTCAAAGAATTAGCATCACATTATAAAGCAAAGCCCGAGACCGGAAACGTCCCAAATTTTTCAGCCGTACATAAAACCGCGATTCGCTCGAATCACAACAGCGGAGCACGTAACAGAAATGGCGTTCGGTCAACGTTTGCTCGCGCGTTTTAAGGAAATAAGGTCGCCGATACGTAGATTTTAAAACGTAACGGCGCGCCACACGACCGCTGTGCCCGGAATATATCGCCACTGAAAATTATTGCACTACCATACACGCCGGACCGTGCGTCGCTTATCTGCCAAGCAATGGATAACAATGGTAATGTTTATGCCGGAGGGATTGACATGACAACATCGGCCGGACACGTGTTTAATCGAGCCATTCGTATGCGTATATGTAAACCTATCATATGTTCAGAGTACAGCGCGACATCATTGAAGTCTTTTGAATGGAGCGTGAAGCACTATATAAATTGTGTGATGTTTCTCTCACAGGTGTTTTTAATTTAAAGAGAGTGCGATGAGAGAAGCTGATTAATGACGTTAGATTCTCTCTCTCTCTCTCTCTCTCTCTCTCTCTCTCCCAGGAAACGACGTTAACATACGTGTTTCGAAACGATAGAAACGACGGGAACACAGATATTAAATGCTGTAGCTAATTATTAATTTAATTATAAAGTTCAAATATTATCCCTTTACAAATATTTCTTTATTTTGCGGTATATTCCACTACTAATTTTGGGCGTTTTAAAAAAATTTTATATTTTGTTTTCATTTCAATTATAGTATGAATATTAAGCATCTATAACGTAAAATTATTACTTTAAAGTGTTTCTTTTTTTTTTGTTCGTTTGAAGTCGTTATATAATCATTCTCGTAAATCGGTGTAATCGGTGACATCAATGCTTGTCGAGAGCGTCTACGCGAGTCTCGACAATTACGTATGAAATTAAATGTTATGCAACGTGGAAATTTTTTAGAATATAATGTAAATATTTAAAGTAATGTGCGATAATATACGATTTCGATGGAAATAATCCGAGATATATTTGAATCTAATGACAGATTGCTGAAAAATTTCCGAAAAAGCGACGAACAGAATCACTTGATTAAATAAACTTCTTTGGATAATATGGATACGCCAATAATTGCTCGTCACGTGCACAACCATTTTTCAAACACAATTTCGCAAAATAAAACGTAAAATACAAACTTATCTCATCGTGTTTGCCGAAATAATAAACAGAAAAAAAGAAAAGTACGAACAAAAGTTGTATTATTTTTAAATAAAGAAATGTTACACCTTTCTGCATTCAATATACGAAATTCCTCCTCTTGTTTATCTAGACTCGTCTAGATAATAGCTGAAGAAACCATAAAACAAATGTGTTAATTATGTTCCAAGTCGTTCGCGTAACATTAACTACTACCGATAATATGAATGATTCGAGAAGAAACATATATCAATGAGTCAACGAATTAAATTATGTCTCCATTTCGCTTCTTTACATTGCTAAATGTAGGATCAAAATTTATGTAAAATTATTCTTATAACTGAAGAAATTTAATATATGAATGCTACAAAAAATATTCCTGAAATTTTCCACACCTAGTTTTATACCCTATTAAAAATATAAAAGTCAATTAAAAACGATTATTTATGTATAAACGTCAACCTTTTGCTGATATACTATATATCTTATGACATTCAATAAAGCCTAATAATATGTAAATTTTGCCTAATAAAAGCTGATAAATATGTATATGCACATTAAAAAACTATTAATTTAAATGATATAGTAATGCATCAAAATGCAATTTCGCGCGTTTTATAGTGCCTACAAAAATGCATCTAACAGCATCATCCTACTGCCATTCGCGGTGTCCTTGTCCAAGCCCGTTTGTTGACATTTCTACGACCTTTACACACTATGGTATTGGCGGATGCTCCCTAGTCTCGGTTTCTCTCCGTGCACCTCGGTGGAAACGGCCTTAACGGCTTTCACGTAAGATCTCGCTTTCCTATGCGCGTTATACCACAACATTGCAGTAGTTAAAGGAAAGACGACAGCGGCTAGTCTATAAATACCCAGGAATGTCCAGGAATAGAAAATCTTTCGCGTGCAAACGAGAGCGCGTGTGCATGTACACCGTAAGACGATTCTCCTGACAGAAATTATGATTACCTGCAATCTACAGAGAAAGGAAGGTCTAGCTCTCTCATACGTCTCCCCAATTCTTGAAATCTCAGACGTGTCTAGGTTCTTAACTTTGACAGTTTTCCGATCATTCCCCCTCGTACAGAATTGGATTACTTCGATTCTGAACGAATGCGAACAGTGATTCGTGTTTTGCACGCGACCTGGCGCCGTTTATGTGAAAAAGTAATTAGCTATCTACGCTATTCGTGCAAAACGGGGCAATCTCGCTGCGCGATATTTCATTGCCAGCGTTTTGCTTTTTTTAGACGCAAGCGAAACGCCGTAGCTCTCCTTTTTCTCGTTACAAGCCTTCCGCGGTGACCCATACCAGCTTTCTTATCCGCCTACCGGTGCTGCTGGCAAAAGGAAACAGCGCGATCGCCGATCTATAAATACCCGGGAGAGCCCCCCGGAACATACTATAAATACGTAGTTGATATCCAGGAATAGAAAATCCTCTTACCTGCTTTTTCCAGCTGATAACGATCGAGCCGGCGAATTCTAACACGTAGAGCAGATCTGTTACGAGGTTAATGATGCGATCGTTAGGACGATTTCTGTTGCGCCGCGGAGAGACGCTCGTGTATGACGCGCGTGTATGTACGTGCATGGCTAAGGGCCAATTCCCCCGACTTCTTCAGAAGGTTAAATCGACGTGAATTCCTATCAAGATAGTTTTCCGCCACTTTTCTCTTGTTTTTAATATCCTCATGCGGATTGCTTCTACCATTTGGCAGTTTACTTATAATCTTCAAAATCAGGCGGAAAAAATGGATCCGTCTGTAGAATTTGATAACAAATGTCCATATGAAATGTGGGGGATATTTCGTGATCGTGACGTGTCAACGACAGAAGCGAAACGAGAGCCTAAAGTATTTTCATGCTTCGCGATTATCGCCCCGAGCATGACGTTTGTTGCAACAAGTGCCTGCATACGCGCGTCGTTACAGCTGCCCCGATCACGCGCGCGAAATACTCGCGGCGCATGAACCGAAGAACTGCGGCGGCGAATCGCACGCGTGAAAGCAAGAACAGTTTCACGCCGCTGTGGAGTATCGCCGTTCGTATTGCCGCGTTTGCCTTCGTAGATTCATCGAGATGTTACGACAAATCGGCTGCGGATCGATACATCGGCAAAACAACGTTTCCTTCAACGCAGGCCGACGCGCAAGGTCGGCCCGCGCGGACAAAATTTGTGCAGATGTTTGCAGAATTACAAACAGCTCGTTGTGAAATGAAAAAGCGCGTGTCGCTGAACGATAGGCCAATCACGATGAATCGTCACGTACTTTATGTAGGACGCGAAATAAGACACGCGTGTGTTGAAAATGTTGTTCTGAATCAAGGAAAACGCAGGTGTATGAAATTATTGGACGATTATTGACGTAATATTGATGGATTTATCGACGTGAATATTAAAACGAAAAAGAACCTATATTTGTTTAAAATTATTGATCTATTTGTATCTATATGCAGCATGTTATACAGAGTAAGTTTAGTTATAAGAAGTCAAGTATAACATTGAGATTTTTAAGAAAGTTATGCATGCACAATATTTACTAGCGTTTTCTTCACGTGTACATAACTTTGCATATTTTTAACGTAGACATCATTCAAAAATTTATATTCAGCTTTAGTTACAAAACGTTGCTCAGATATTATTTGATCCTATATAATTTTGAATTATAATCTTTTGTATTAACTAAGAAATTTACTAAGAAAATTTTCTTAAAATAGAATGGAAATTTATTCTTCCTACAATAAAGTATAATAATTTGTTGGAAGAATTAAAAAAGGGGATAAAACTAACTTTGTCTTAATAACTAAGATGGCGATTAAATTATATTTTGTAAAACTTTTATTTGGGAATAGATAACCGATTTAAAATCGACGTAAGGAAGTGTCGGTAAGAAGAACTTGTACACG